TGCCCGATTAGTACCTGAAGCTGACACAAAAGACTTACTTTGAGCCCAGAGTTCCTCATGTAGGTGTTTTCAATTACAAAATGACACACAACCTCCAAGGTTTATGGCAGATTGATATTTCCTTTCAACTGGCTAGGTTACCACAGCATCTCATAACTCCAGTGGTTCCTGGCCCTTCTCCTGGAGCACCCCTACCCTGCACATTTTACCACTTATCTATTGTCACAGGAAAGGAAGGGAAGAGCTTGTTCCTTAGTTTATTAGTTAAATCAGGTGTTTTACAGCAGAGAAGTTCAAAATCTACAGGACAGGGGTCCGCCTTGATGATGGTGTTGAGATAAGATAAAGTTCATTCCAGCTGTTTTGTATGTTGTATGAGTGAATGTGTGCTTGAGGAGCATGACTTATCTTTATCTAGGAAAACTTGTAAACTATGACCTGTGAGTTTCTTCATCCTCAGAGAGGCAGACACGTTTGACTGGGCTGAACATGTGCTCCTGGCCCTGACTCCTCTTCTACTCCACTGTCTGGAAGTGACTTTACCTAAGACAGTGGAGGCGAGAGGAGGTCTTTTCTGTCTTTGGCTTAAAATTGACACCGAACTCAAAGAGCATCTAATCTCCACCTTGCAGCTTGTTACACATGAAAGAGATGGAGAGGCGAGAAAGGAGGCCCATTTCTTATTCATGAGTTCATTTGGAGGGCTTTTTATGCAAAGTGTTTAAATCCCATTGCTGCTTGCCAGGATCTCTGGGCCCACGCTAGTGACCAAAGAGGAACTTGACTTCAAACATCACAACACGTCAGATCAGATTATGGGCTTACTGAAATCTTAAAAGGGAACTCTGCATGTGTGTCGAGTGTGTGTGTGCGTTTTGAACGACGAAACTCCTGCTTTTTCAGCGTTTACCTGTGTTGCCTAATTAATTGACAAATCTTCAGCGTGCGATATAGGGTGCTTGTTATTTGATCATGTTTCACACTTCCCTTACAGCTTAATCTTTCGCAGCTAGATTCTTGTTTTTCTGCCATAAGGGCAAAAACCTTCAAAGGTGACCTCATATTAAACCTTGCGAGATGGAGCACAAAGAATCAGTGAGGATGTGTAAGCCTTGTTTTTATCTTAGCTTCATTGAAAATTGTATAATGAGCGAGCTCTATTATCATGCGCTGGACTTAAGCAGATCAGCGGCCAGTATGTTTTCAAAAACAGATTCTCCGTTGCCATGGACATGACATCTTTCATGTTTCGCATAGTGGGTGCACTGATGTTTCTTTGACGTGGGCAGATGGAACAAATTGGAGTGGCTATTGTTCAGCCAAAGCAGTTATGATTTTCAACATTATAAATTTCAAGTTTTAAAATGTCAGCCCTTTCACAATACAGTCCCACCGGTGGGATTAGTTAGTTAGTATAGTCCAATTTGTGGGATTCGTACACAGCATTAGCACGTTCAGCTTTGAATGCTGATGTGACAGTCAGCTTTAGTTGTACTTGTTAATTACATCTTTCTGATACAGCAAACAGTCAAAATATGGTGACAACTGCAACAAACGTTTTGGTGAATGAATGCAAGTTAAACTTGGCTTTGTCTATACTGAGCATATGCTGCAAACAGCCGGGCAGCACACGTGAAGCGAGCGTATTTCAGAAATGTACAAATTACAGTCCTCAGGCCGGCTGCCCCTTTGGTCTCCATCATTTTAGAACATGAAACTGTTACTTCTGCTGTTTCTCATGCCTGATTTTTTTTTTGTTTTTTTTTTGCTTGTCAGTTTCAGTATCTTCCAACAGCACTAGTGAGTCTGCCTGACTTCAAAACACACAGTAACAGTTTAAATCTAAACTTTGACTTTAACTAAAATTTCACACAGCACTGAGATACTGTACATCAACTCTTATTTGTTATGTCTGGCAAAAACACATCATAATGAAACGTCTACATTATAGAAGCTGTATTGTTTGATACTAATATCAAAACTACACACTTTGACAATCTAGGTTTATGAAAACTAACTAAAGAAGTTTTTGGTCAGGACTAGTTTCACTTGAGGAGGTGGGACATGTCATTTTTATCAGCGTTTTAGACCCATCCGAATGAGCTTTGTCAGGCACTTTTACAGACTGCATGTCAGTAAAGATTCTGGCACCTTTTACCTTCTATAAAAAAAGCCATGAAAGTAACCTCAGGTTATATTAATCCACCGTGAATCAGTGTGCCGGTAAAATGCCATCATATCCTGTTTTAAGGGAGTTTCTTTAGTATGGAAACACTCAAAGAAGCATTTACTTCTGTTCTCTGACATCTCAGCTTCTTATTTACCAGCTTTATGTTTGAATTTTCCCATTCCACTTTGAATTTTTGTTTTTCAAATCTGACTTTAGTTAATGATAATCAAGTCACATATCTTTACGTTTACTGAAATAGTTTTGATATTTACAGTTGAGTTGCGAGCACTTAGCAGTTGACTGCAAAAACCAGATGTAAAAAAATGAATGTAGAGTACACACACTGTAAACAATGATTCAATGTTTTGACTTTAAAAAGTTGATAAGATGGTTCATTGAACTATGTTGGTTCAATGAACTATTTAAAATTCAATAAACTCAAAATTCTAAGGCAACCAGGCCTCTTTGTTAAGTTAAAACCTCAATCTTTAAAGTACTTTATCAGTTAAGTAATACTTCATTGTTTTTGCGAATATAGGCTTATATTAAATTGATGCCTGTAACACATTCCAAAAAAAGGTGGGATGGGATGTTTTAAGACTAGAAAAGGACCATCCAGATTATTACCAATGTAAAGTTCAAAAGCCAGACTCTGTTGTTGTATAGGGGTGTATATGTGCCCAATGTATGTCCACAATAGAGCTGTTCCCAGTCCAAATACTACCAACATTGGTGTGTGTGATAAAGACCCTAGAATGCTGAAAAGCAAAACGACTGAACCTTTCTTAAAGCAGTTAGAAGTGGCTTGTTCCCAAGCTGCATAAGAATACAGATGAGAGACGGCCAGAACTGTGGTCCGGTGTGTCCGTCCACTGTCTAATCTTCTCAGGTTTCCTGTCACTCTTGGGCTCGTGTAGAGCTCCAAATCGCCCACACGGGCAGAGCTCGCACCGTAGCGCCACGGCAGCCTGCATCGATCTGACCTCTGGCAGATGCGCTTCCAGCCTTTGATCTGTCAATCAACGGCTAGTCAATAGTGAGAGGTAAACATTTCTGCTGGTCTATTAAAACTCACCTTCGCACAATATGGAGTGGATTCGGGGGTGTTTTAGATAGAGTGGCCGAGGGGAGAGGAGGAAAAAAGAGAACAGAATTACATTGGCATCGTGTGAGTGACAGCGCCAAGGCTAAAAGTTGCGCGTAGGAGAATGAGGCTGCATCTAAACAGGCCAAACAGCGTGCTGCTTCACTTTCAGCCTGCTTTTGGAATGCTGACCCACAAGCTGCTGTGTTCTGGCGCATGAATAATTGAAGGAGGTCTTAATGTATGGGCAGGTGGACGGCTCTTATCGGCGTGTCTGTATTCAAAGCGGGGGCTGCTGGGATATGCGGCAGTGGGAGATGAGAAGCTTCAGCGTTGGTCATCTCTGCTTTCTCTGCTTAATTATGGAGTCAGAGCTGTCACGGCGCTTTGTGCCAATGTCTCCTCCGCTCCTCTGCTCTTAATCTCTGTCCTGTCTTTTTCCAGCTGACACATAATACGACTCTATCAGAAAAATATTCGCTGCATAATTTCCCCCCGCACATAAAGTAAAGTTCAAGACCAAGCCCAGGGATTTGATGGCTCTGATGCGCCGCCTGACTCTTCTCTGCCTTTGTTAATTCTCTTCTCCTTTCACTGTTCTTGCTGCAGAGTCTTTGCTTCAGTCAGAAGCTTTGAAGTGCTTTTTTAATTAGTGACGCAGTATTGTCTTCATCCAGGCAGCACTTGTAAGCAGGAAGTTAAGGGTAGTTAAAGGTGGCAATTAGAAATGGAACAGTTTCAGATGCAGAAAAGGACATGGGTGTTACTGAGTAGCGACAATTTACCTCATTGATTTTGCAAGATTTTTCTTGGAAAGCAGCTGTTTTGAGAAATTTGAATGGCAAATTTTAAACACTCACTTCCTTAGATCACATCACCTGATTTACTTTGCTGCCTCTGCTGGATTTGATCTCCTGATTTTGGTTGTATTAAAGTGCTTAGGATGATGATATCCAAGAGTTATGGAAAATGAGATCAGAGTGCAGTTTATTCACGAAAGACACATTTGGGCAAAAGGTTTCATAAGTACGCATAAGTATGTGGACACCTGAGTTGTACAGAAAGAGAGTTACAGTGTTTCTATACATTTGCAGTTCCTGTCAGTGCTACAGCGACAATTGGCCTGCTCTCTCTGGGTGGGTTAGATGGCCCTTCTTCTCCCCCATCACTCTGGAGGACATGTAGTGAATGCAGACATCTCTTAGTTAACGTAACAGAATTAACAGTTAGCGTTCTCCTCCAAGCATGTTGAGCTGTACAATGAAGTTGCATTAGTAGCAGTTTCAAAAGATGTAGTGAGTGATTCCACATGTTTCAGAGAGAGCACATGCTAGCCCTCAGTCTTCCAGCTTGGTAGCATCATGTGATAGGGTGACCTTGGATAAAAGTTTTGAATAAATGGCACTTTTAACAATAACATGTTTGATTTACATTCGATTTGTATTTTGCATCAACAGACTGAGTCTACATTTGTAATGTCTTGTTTGTTTTAATGTCAGTAAATGAGAAACTTTTTTTCTGCAAAACAAGCTTATAAACTTGTTTCCTCCTTGCAAAAATGAATGTGGTGTTTATTTATTTACAGAATTTCTCTGTTTGTTTCAATGAGCTATGAGTGAAAATTCATAGCCGGTTACACCCTGCTTTTGTTACTACTGATGATACCTGTGACTTCTCAGGGTTTATCACCATCTGTAAACTAAATGTCCAGTGTAACTGATAAAGAGTGTTTGATTATTTTTGAAGGTAATGAGTTTGGACATCCGGAATGGCTTGACTTCCCCAGGAAGGGAAACAATGAGAGCTATCGCTACGCCCGCCGCCAGTTCAACCTGGTAGACACTGAGCACCTGCGATACCGGCAGCTTTATGCTTTTGACCGTGACATGAACCACGCAGAGGACAAGTACGGCTGGCTGAGCTCTGGCCCGGTAAAACACACACACATTCACTGTGTGCACCCATGCAGACAGTCTCCATGTCCAGACAATGTATGGCTCACCTTGCTAGCCATCTGTTAATCAGTGGGGAGCCCTTAAGCATGGGTAATGAATGAGGTGTTGGCTCCACAGCTCATGTAACTGTAAAGCTGTATGATCAGTGTAGCCATGTAAGCTTTATTCTCTGATGTAGGATGAGGATTTGAGTTTCTGTGTTTGTAGTTAAATGGCTGCTGTGTTTTTGTCTCTGTAGGCCGTGGTCAGCACTCTGGATCAGGCTGATAAGGTCATCGTGTTTGAGCGAGCGAAGCTGCTCTTCATCTTTAACTTCCACCCCAGTGTCAGCTACAGCCACTACAGAGTGGCAGTCCAGCATGCTGGGAAGTATCCTTTCACTTCTCCGACTCTGGGCTTCCCTCTGATACATGAAGAGTATGGGGCATATTAGTGTGATATTGTGTGTTTCTTTTTCTGTGTGTGTTCGGCCGTCTCTCCTATGACATATGTACAATTTAAATAAAAAAAATGGAAGACAGATTTTAATAAAGTGGGGTCTTCAGTCAAAAGCTTAGGTTAGTTAAAGCACAAGTGAAATTACAGAAAATTTGAACAAAAATACAGTCTGATAATGTATTATTTATTTTTTTTTTGTTTGAATAAAGAAAACGTAGGCCTAATGTCTTTCACCAGCTTTTCTCCAAAAAACAGGTTTTGCGGTAGCGTTAGATTCACTGGTGAACTGAGGGCCTTCAGTTTTGCACCATTAATGTTATCCCTTTTTCACAGTAGCCATAAAATGCCTCTTTTGAAGGTCCCTCATTTTTTACACTATGCATAATTTTTTGTCAATAACATTTGTGAAATAGAATTTAAGTAAATGATTTAAAATTTAAAATGAAGCTGTTAAAGACACCCTGTTCTTCAGTGGTCAGGACCCCCATGGACCCTCACAGAGCAGGTACTATTTGGGTGGTGGATCATTCTCAGCACTGCAGTAACACTGATGTGGTGGTGGTGTGTTAGTGTGTGTTGCGCTGGTATGAGTGGATCAGACACAGCAGTGCTGCTGGAGTTTTTAAACACTGTGTCCACTCACTGTCCACTCTACTAGACACTCCTACCTTGTCAGTCCACTTTATAGATGTAAAGTCAGAGACGGTAGCTCATCTGCTGCTGCACAGTTTGTGTTGGTCATCCTCTAGTCCTTCATCAGTGGTCACAGGACGCTGCACACAGGACACTGTTGGCTGGATATTTTTGTTTGGTGGACTATTCTCAGTCCAGCAGTGACACTGAGGTGTTTAAAAACACCAGCAGCACTGCTTTGTCTAATCCACTCAGACCAGCGCAACACACACTAACACACCACCACCACATCAGTGTTACTGCAGTGCTGAGAATGATCCACCACCCTAGCATAGAGCTGCCAATTTTTATTCCAATTTTCAATTTCATCCACTATTTTCAACTCTTTCAACTGACTGAAACCTAAAGGTTTACAGTCAGTGACATATCTAGGACTTCCAGAAAGCCTGGAGTGATATTTTTCCTCATGAAATTGGTTTCTACCTTTAGAAATCGAAATGCGATTGGTTGATTCCACTGTCACTTTATGATCACTTTAATTATGCCTCAGTCCAGTCCTGAAGGCCTGAACAATGGGAGAGGTAGCTTAGCTATATATATCTAGAGACCACAGGAAAAAAATAAAAAATACAGACCAGTTTTTGTGTTACCAGTATTTTTTTTTCTAGTCAGCAATTGCTACTAATTAACTTCGACAGCTACCAAGATAGCTAGCTTTTATTTCTATCATGTTGTTTGTAACTTAGCTAACAGAAGGAAAGAACAGAAGAGAGGAATGTCAAAACTTCTGGTATTTGAAACTAAGTTGAAAGACTCTTAAGGTGACTATTTTAAGGAATCCAATATTTAGAAGCAATTTCCAGTTTTCTTAAATATCACTTTCATTCTCTTTATGCTGTGTCTGGTACATTGTAATGGGTTTTGCTTGTACAGGATGTGAGTCTCCTGGGAAAGTTGAGGTTTCTGCTGTGGCAGGCATTGCTGAGGCCAGCTCACCCTGCGGTGAGGACATCAGGCAGTAATGGGCAGTGATGTGGACATTGTGCTACAAAACATTCTCATCTTCCAGATAAGACGTGAAGCTGAGGTCCTGTCACTTAGTGGCTATTAAAAGTCTGAAGGCCCAGTGCACTAAGCTGTTTGCAGCAGTTTCAGGCACTAATCGGACACATTGTTCTAATGCTGCATGAAGTGCCAATTTGTAGGTCATGTGCATGGATTAACGCAAAATGCATTTCTCTCCCTCATGCACATGAATTTAAGGAAGGTTAGCACAAAACGTGAAGATCATGCAAAAAATGGGTGGAGATCTTTGAAGCTGATTACATATTCCACATCAGTTTAAAGTTTGGGCAAATAGCAGCATAGCAGTCTGTTTTGCATGGAATTGTCTCCTGCTATATAGCAGTAATTTTTTTCTATTTTTCTATTTTCCTTTCTATTTTTATTTTAACCTAGCTGTACTGTCTCAAAAATGTGTTGTTATATATTTATATTTAACATATTTAATACAGTAACGCTGTTGTAACTCTCAGGGCTAGATGTACATACATGAGAAGACGCAGTGCAAAACCTCCCTTTATTGCAGTCACAATATGCATTGGTGTTATCTGTGCATTGGTGTTACTGTTTTCTTGGCCAAAATATGGCCAAAAGTATGTGGACACCCCTCCTAATTATGGAGATCAGGTGTTTCAGTCACACCCATTGCTAACAGATGTATAAAATCAAGCACATAGCCATGCAATCTCCATAAGAAAACACTGGCAGTAGAATGGGTCATACTGAATAGCTCTGTGACTTTAAACATGGCACTTTCATAAGATGCCTCGTTTGTCACAAGTCAGTTAGTGAAATTTCTGCCTTACTAGATCTGCCGTGGTCAACAGGAGAACACTTTCTACCAGAATGCATAGTGCCAACAGTAAAGTTTGGTGGGGGAGGGATAATGGCCTGTTTTTCAGGGATTGGACTCTGCCCCTTAGTTCCAGCGAAGGGTACTGTTAATGGTACAGCATACAATTACATTTCAGACAACATTGCTTCCAATTTTGTGGCTGCAATTTGGGGAAGGCCCTTTTCTGTTCTAGCATGACTGTGCACCTGTGCACAAGGTGAGGTCCATAACGACATGGTTTCATGAGCTTGGTGTGCAGGAACTCCAGTGGCCCACAAAGAGCCCTGACCTCAACCCAAGTGAACATGCACTTTGGCACGAATTTACTTCACAAATGCTCTTTTGACTGAATGGTCACATTTTCCCACAGACACATTCCAAATCTTGTAGAAAGCCTTCCCAGAAGAGTGGAGGCATCATCTCTGGATGATGCCCAACAGAAAATACTGAAGTGGATGTCATGAGCAAGAACTTAAGCTTGAAAAGCAAACAAAATAGAATTCTGTACTGCTGTTCAGATGATGTCAGTTAGAGCTTTAATCAGGCCTAAAGGTCTGGTCCAAACATGAATAAAGCTCAACCAAGTTTTGTCTGACCCATCCCAACCCACAGCACCAAGTTCTGAGTCTGAATCCAACACAAATTCCAAAAAAATTAAGTCTGGTACAAACACGAGCACCATCAATTGGAGAGCTCCACTTACTATTCCTGAATCTGACTGATAGTACCTGAGTTAGCTCATGATAGGGCAACAGTGACAGCCATTATCAGCTCATCAATAAACAAAACAAATAAAACATCAGCAGTTCAAAATTAAGTTTAAATTCCACTTTAGCAAATATATCAATCAAGGCCTTTAAACAATATCAGAAATATTTATACTCTGGATAAACTACAAAATGTGTTGTTCTCATGCTGTTCTTGTGTTAGTGGACCTTATAGTAGTCAAAATGAGTTACTCCTGTGGACCTGATTGAAAAAATTAAGGCAATAAATAAAGAAGAAGAATAAAGTGAGAAACCTCAGCAAGACATTTGAACACATCCTGAGCCAGACAAATATGTGAGATGTGATGTCTGAGGCTAAGCAAACCCTGATGTGAATAGTCATGTCCCATTTGGTTAGAACAAAGTTTTTTGGGCTCCAATTCCAATGTTAATGTAAAAGTTTTGGTAAGCGCATGAAAAAGCCTAGTTTCCCTGGCCATTGTTTCAGGTTTTCCTCATTTGTTCCATTCTCTTCTTCATAGTTCTCTCATTGCGGGGCTGCTGGAAGGGCTAGTGGAAAGGGGTGGGCAGGTGCAGGGGGATCAGAAAACCTGGGCTTTAGATCAATAATGCAGTTGTATGTATTGAAGCAGTCCACAGCTCCAAATGGACCATGGAGTACATCGTCAGAAGGGACATATCTTACTGATCCCCCCACCCCAAAAAATAAGAGTGTTTCTAGGGGGAGGCTGAAGGGTCTTCAGGGGCTTTTTCATAGTTCCACAGCTTTTGGAGAGAGGGAGCTGGGTCGATATTGTTGCTGTAGTGGGGCTTTCTTTTGGAGCATTCCTTTCGTTGTTTCCTTCACCTGGTTTCCCCTCTAATCTCTCTCTCTCTCTTCCTCTCTCTTTGTCTCCAGTTGAACGCTGCTTTCATGTGCTTAGGAAGCAGGCAGAGCACCTCTAGCTCAGCACTGATCTTCACAGCTCTAGACAGGAAGCCTCAGCCTACGCTTCACTGTTAGCACTACTGGTTTCTTTATGTTTGACAAAAAGCGAGTACTATATGTTTTTGCATATTTTAGTGGTTAAGAACGATTTTGTTTTGCTTTTTTATCACAATGTAATTAGTGCCACTTTACAATAACACCACCTTTATAAAGGATTTATGAATAGTTTAACATGAGTTTATTAGTTAGGTCATAAACACTTAAAAGCATTAAAAAGCAAAAAGAACATAAATAAAAAGGGGAAAAGTAACATGTTGCTCGCAAGAGCTGAGTCCACTTTTATATTAATATTGAACCTCAGATCTTGCAGGTTAGGTACCTTATTTTGTCTTTTTCATCAGTCAGCATTAAACCTGTCAGCTTCATCAGATATTCATATCCATCAGCTCACTTTTGCCCTTTTTATTTGTGTTTGAACTACTTATTAATACTTTTTAAGGTGTTTATGATCTTATAATTACAAACAAGTAATAAACAAATTTAAAACCATTTATAAATCCTTTATAAGAGTAGTCTAATTTTGTGGTACCTGTAATCATAATTTTATCAAGTCAAGTGGTTTTTATTGGCAACACACTGCACAGGACTACATAAAGTACAGATACACCACAGTGTGAAACACATGCAGACTATGCAATAAATACACCAGACAATACATATACAGAACAATAAATACACATGAAAA